TTGCCTCTCGAGGCCCGCCTCCGGCGCGCCCCATTCTCGAGGCCCCCCCTCCCGAGCCCGTCCCCTCTCGAGGCCCGCCTCCGGCCCGCTCCCTTCTCAAGGGCGCCCCTCCCGGCCTCGTCCCCTCTCGCGGCCCGCCTCCGGTCCCGTCCCCTCTCGGGGCCCGCCTCCGGTCCCGTCCCCTCTCGAGGCCCGCCTCCGCCCCGCCCCCTCTCGGGGCCGCCTCCGGCCCGTCCCTTCTCGAGGCCCGCCTCCTGTCCCGTCCCTCTCGGGGCCCGCCTCCGGCCCTTCCCCTGCCTACACAGGCGCCCCCCCTAGCCCACCTGGCCCTGATGATCCAGGTAGTAAAAGTACTCGCGCGTCCGGGGCTCGGGGCGCTGGCCCTGCGTGTAGGAGACGCCCGCGCCCCCACCACAGGCCCTCGTCCCGGTAGACCGCGCCAAGGCCAGAGGCCTGGCCCGGAGCGCCCCGCACGCCGGCCACATCCTCCTCCCGAGCCGGAAGCGGTCGGAGGGTCACGCGCAGGCGGCGCTGCGAGAACACGCGTCCTCCGGCGGCCGCGGCCTCGCGCTTTGAGTTCCGGCGGGGTCTGAGGAGCTCGCCTGGCCGGTCCGGCGGCCCCGACGCTCCTTTCCGGGCCTGCCGGGGCAGGCCGCCCGTCGGCGCGGTGCGGGCGTGAGACTGGGGTGCAGGCGAGCTCAGGAACGGGGAGCCAGGCGAGGTTCGGGGCGCCGGCGACCGCCCGTGGGCCGCCTGCGCGTCCAGCCCGTAGCCGCACACAGACGCGGACAGACACGCGGCGAGAAGCCCTGCCGAGTCGGGGGTCGGGCGCGTCCAAAAGGCCCAAGCCCCGGCCGGCGGGTCCAGGCCGACACCGCGGTGCCGAGGACGACCCCGGCGCCTCGCCCCTCGCCCCCATCCCGGGGGCAGCCCTGCTTGCCGCCCCCCAGCTCCCCGCCTGGCCTGTCCGCCCGGTGCCCGTAGCAGCAGCCGGCTGGCCGCCGTGCTGGGCTGCCCGGCCTCCCACCCAGATGCCCGCAGCGACCAGAAGGAGCGGGAAGCGACAGGCGGCGACCATGGCTCGGAAGTACAAAGTACTCCATATGTACTTTATTCAAAGTGTTGTCATCTCTCGAGTCCATGCGTCAGAGCGCGAGTCTGTGGCCGGCCCTCCCCCGCCCAGGCCGCGAGACCACTCGACCGAGGACGCTACCCCAGGGGACACTCGGGCCTCGGCAGGGCTGGGCTTGCTTTTAATAATAAATAAAAACTCAACTCTAAAAAATATATATATATAAAAACTGGGGAGAAATTAAGTTTTACAATGGGAACTCAAAATTCCAAAATGGAAAATGTACAAACTGAGTCTAGGTACCTCCCCACCAGCTCTGGCCTCGAGGACGGGCGGTCGTGGGCGCCCCTCTAGTCCCCCAGCTCGGGGGTCCTTCCCTCTCATCTGCTGCAGGTCCCGGATGGGGTGGGGCAGGTTTGGTTTTTGGTCAGAAGCCAAGAAAGTGGAGAAGAAAATGAAGGAATGATATCAACTTGCTCTGCACAGAGAATGGGCGAGGACGGCTCAGAGATAACATTTGGGTTAAAACTATGCCATTAGCAAATTTAGTTCTTATATCTTTCGCTCTATTTATATCTCTATACACAGACGGGTTGGGGTGCAGGATAGATTCTGAATTTATAGTTACACGAAGAAAAAATATTCTCGCCCCTCCCCCACCCTGCCCCAAGAACGCCTGCCCAACCCTGACCCCCACCCCAGCGGACTTTGGTTTGGGGGCCCCTCCCCACCCAGGGAAAGCTTGTGGGCTCTGGGCCAGGCTCTAGTGGTGGATAGCCCAGTGCCCTAGAACCCCCAACTCCTGTACCAAGCTGGAGGCCACAGGTGGCAGGAGGCGGCGGGGGGGCCAGGGGCTGGGGAGGGCAGAAGCTGCAGGCCAGGCGGCCGAGAAGAATGAAGAGAGCAGAAGAGGGGAGAGGGGCAGCCAGGCAGGGCCCAGGCCAGGACCAGGCTGAGCGCAGGAGCTCCAGCAAGGCAGCTCACCCCGGCAGGAGCCGCGTGTGCTCTGGGGCTGGCCCCGGAGGGGCAGTGTCACTTGGCTCCAGGAAACAGAAGGCACTTTCTCGGGGCTCACCCGCGGCCGGCAGTGGGCGGGGCGGTGCCCACGGAACTGGCTAAGAGGTGGAGGGCCAGAGGCGCCCTTCCTGTAGCTCCTCTGCCCTGGCTGCGCCCTCACGCCGAGGGCCTGGGTGGGGAAATGGGGGTTCCAGGGCTGGGGCGGGCATGGGCGGAGCCTGGCATGCTACCTCCGCGACTGGGGCGTCCCCTCCCCCCTCCCGGCGTGTCCCCTGCCCGGGTGCACCCGAGCTTCGGCTCTGTCCCCACCCTAGGTCCTTCGGTGCCCACGTGCTATAGCACGCCCTCCATGAAGCTGGTGTCCAGGTGCTGGATGAGCACGCGAAGGAAGGACATCTCCTTGCGAGTGTTCTCGAAGATTACGCGCGGGTCGTCCGATCGGCAGCGCAGGCAGTTGGGCGCCATCACCATGGCCAGGTTGCTGACGTCCATCTTGGTGATGGCCACGTTGGCGGGCTGCACGAACACCTGCGGGGTAGCGGCTGGTGGGCCCGGGCGGGGCGTGGGGCGGGTTCGGGGTGGGGCCAGGCGGGGGCGGGGCACAGGGCGCGTCCAGACGTGGGTGGGGGCGCGGGGGCGCACCTGGAGGAAGCGGATGAGGTAGCAGAGCACCAGGCGGTTGATGCGGGGCAGCGCGTGCACCACGGCCACGGCGGCCTCGGGGCTCTCGTAGTGCGCGATGCACTGCTCGTAGAACTCGTGCGGGATCAGAGGCTCCTCCAGCTCCCGGTACCACAGCTTCAGCAGCGACGCTGTGGGCACAGCGTGGCGGCTCAGCCACCTGCTGGGCAGGCACCCTTGGGTGGAGCCCGGTGTGGTGGGGGCCCAGCCTGACCAGCGACCGAGGGCGTGAGAGGGGTTGTGACCAGGAGGGGACCAGACCGGAAAGGGTCCACCTGGCCTAGGTGGGCTGCGCCAGCCAAAACCTGAGGGCCTGGGCTCATCTTGGAGGCCTGGGCATTGTGTGTGAGGAGGTCTGTGCAGCTGCTGGGAGCAGGCAAGGCTGGAGGGATGTCTGTGCTGGGAATGGACTGGGAGCCATGGCATCACTGGGGGGAGGGGAAGCTGAACTGTCTGAGCAGCCTGGACCAGGCCTGCTCCTGCTGCCTAGGGGGTTAGGGGCTCACCAGGGACATGGGGGTCCTCCAGGCCTGTAGGCACTTTCCACTGGTCCACCTGTAGCTTCAGAGCGTTCACCTCGTCAATGTCCCCAGGGACTCTGCAGAGCACAGAGCAGGTCTCAGGGAGGAGGAGTTTGGCTTGCCCAATGTCAGAGATCAGGACCACTTGGCCCCTCTCCACCCAACGGGCCTCTTTCTCACCAGGGAGGGAGGTGTGGCTTGGGGACCCTGCCCCATGGACCCAGGCCACCACCCCTTGTCCCTCTGCTGGCCACCCCCATGCAGATGCTTTCCTCCGTAGGGCCACTGAGACCTAAACCCAGAAGCCTCAGTTTCCCCAGCTGTGCTTCTAGAGCCTGGGTAGGTGGGTCATGACTGCAAGTGACTGGCCATGTGCCATGCCCCTGGGGCAGGGGCTGTCATCCCCATTCCCAGGTGAGGACCGTTTGCTGGGGCATGCTGTCTCTCTCCAGGCTCACGTCTCAAGCCCCGCCTGGGACTGGTGTCCAAGTGCCCTCTGGGCCCCTGGTGGCCATTTCTGCAGGGGCATTGTCCCTCGCTGGCCCTCCTGCCTGGCTTCAGACATACTGCAGTTCAGGTGACGAACTTGCTGACTGTCTCCTAAGGCCCTGCCTTTCCTGGCTGAACAGTGGCCTGGCCCTTCTGTTTGTTCCAGAGTGCCCCTCCTGCCTGCATGCTGGCCTCTCAGGCTTCTCTGAGGCTGGGGCACAAGTCTCCTGGCCCTGCTGCCCAAGGCTGGGGCACGGAGGTAGGCCCAGTGGGCCTGGTGTCCAGTGGCCCCTGCCTGCCTGAGACACATGGTGGAGACACTCAAGGACCCACACCCAGGGCCCAGGTCGCAGGGCACCTGAAGATGCCTTCCGTCTGGTCACCGTTGAGGGCTAGCACCTCCTCAGACAGCCGTGTCTGTACCCAGGGCAGCTGCCGGTCAGGGTAGCGCTCCTTCTGCATGCTCATGACCTCCTGCAGTGCACTGCCAAACATGGACGGGCTGAACACGGCATTCTTGGCATGCCGGATCTCCTCCACGTTGGGCTTCTTCAGCCCCTGCAAAGACAGCCCAGCTCTGTCCCTGTGTGGCCCAGCCGCCCTGCTCCTAGCCCTTCCTCCCCTGCATTCCTCCTAGGGCTGCCCTGGCTTGGCCACCCCTCCTCTCCCCTTGTCCTCTCATCTTTGTGAACTCCAGGCTTCTGCCCAGCCAGAGCTGAGGGTTCCCCCAACGTCCTGACCCCAAGTCACCAGGGGCGCCTTCTGCTGGGCCACCTAGAGCATCCCGAAGCTTCAAGCGGCCCCGTTGGTCATGCAGGAGGAAGGTGGGAGTGACTCCTGGACAGGCCAGTCTGGGAACTGCATGGGGCCACAAGAGCGGCCAGGCTGGTGGATCTGAGCCATGTGAGACCACCCTGTGGTGGTGGGTGCAGGCAGTGGCTTCTGGAAGTCTGTGGCAGGGCTGGAGCAATGCATTAGTGGGGGGAGAAAGTGGGGAGGGGTGGCCAGGCTCTGGAACAGTGAGGGCACAGCTGCTTTCAACAGAGGTGGGGAAGGGTCAGGCACAGGAAGGTCTAGGGGGCTTCCTGGGTGGGGGTGGGATGCTGAAAGGGAGGAAGAGGGTGGGCCGTGGGTGCTGCACTGGGCCGGGGAGGATGCCCAAGGCACACGCCTCCCGACAAGGCCAGGTAACAAGGTCCAGCTGTGTGGTGTGACTGAGGCCTCTGTCCTGTAGAGTGGCCACAGAGTGCAGGCTGTGGGAAGGGCTGTGGCTGCCAAGCTCTGCCAGATGGTAAGAGGTCCCAGCAGCCGGCTGTGGGTCAGGGAAGCAACTAGTGGAGGGCACTGCTGGGACCACCTGCCCTGCCTGCCCACCCTGGAACGGGCTCGCCTGTCTGTGGGGTGGTGCCCAGCCCTGGCTGCCAGAACCGAGAGGAGCCCTGTGACGGGTCTGGGCCCTCGGATCTCCACAGCCAGGTGGACAGCCCACTGTGAGCAAGGGGGCACACCGTGGTCTTCTGAGTCTGCGTTGCAGTCCAAGGCTGAGCCTCCTCTGGGTCCAAAGGCAGCCTTCCAGAAGGCGAGGGCCTCCCGGCCTGCCCGTGGACCGTGCCTGCCCTCTGCACCTCACCACGCCAGACCGACAGCGGCAGGCCTGGGGCAGCTGGTGTCACTGTCACAGCACACCCCACCTGCACTTGGGCCGGCGACCCGATGCCCTGGTCCAACCACACACCTCTTTTCCTGCACTGGCTCTAGAACTGGGGGTACAGACCCTGCCCGAGGCCTTCCCTGGCCATCTATCTAGGTGGGCTCCTCGCAGCACCCCCACACCACAAGCCGGCACCCCCTCGCACCCGAATGTGCAGGCTGGGTTCGAGAGAGCAGGGCCGTTCTTCAGGATGTGAGAGCTGCCTGTCCAAGGGTCCTCAACTCCCTTTGGACCTGTCTAGGAGTCACCGATATAGCCTGCCCACCCCGCCCCGGCTGTCCCGGGAGAAGCTCGTACCTTCTTGGCCCCGGTCAGGGCCGCCTTCTGCAGCTTGTGGTAACAATACTTGGCATATGTGCTTATCGCCACTCCTGGAAAAGAATGGGTGCCAGTCGGCTTGGGGTGGGCAGGGGCTGCAGGCCAGCCAGGGACTAAGAGAGGAAGCAGCAAGAGGGGTGAGGAGAGGCAGCTCCCATGAGTCCCGGGGGCCTGGGCTGGCCTGGCCAGGCTCCTGCCCACCCCTTGTCCAGGGCCGTGGGTCCTCATTCTCCCAGGCTGTCCTTTAGAGTAGAAGCCCACATGTAGAGGCAAGGGGCACTTCCCTCACCTCCAGAGGAGCCAGGCTGGGGAAGGAACCCCTCTGCCAGCCTACCCACTCCTCCCCATGACCAGGAAGGGCAGGCTCAGGACAAGGCCTGTTCCCCCTGAGGAGTCACAGGCAGGACAGGGCAGGGCCTGGGCCCCAGGGCCTCCCAACTAGGGACCTGGGGGTACCCTGAGAAGGGTCATTTCCACATGCAGCAGCCCTGGAGAAGCTTCGTGCCCACTGCCTGGGCCAGCACTGCAGGAGGGGGCCTGGGGCTGGCTGGACAGCAGGCCTAGCTCTCCTGTAGCCTTGCCTCCAGCAGGGACCCTGGGCAGCCCTGGGAGTGGGCCTCAGCCCACAGGGCCCCACATCTGCTCGGTCAGGGCTACCTGGGCAGGAGTCAGAGAGAGGGAGGCCCAGGGCCTGGCCCGTGGTGGAAAGGGAACGAGTGTGGAGGAGACTCCACATGTCCCGAGCCTGGGTGTTGCAGGGAGGGCAATGCCGCTGGAGGACCACCTTTGGGCTCTGCCTGAGGGCTGAAGCTGGCAAGGAGAGGGCTAGTCTTCTTTCTCAATGGAGGGGGTTTCCTAAAACTCCACCCCTGGCAGCATAAGTTCTAGCTGGTGGTCATGGGGGATGGCCAGGCCAGCATTCCGAGGGCAAGGACCTCAGGGACCTTGGCCAGGGAGCTCTCCAAAGGGAGAAGGAAGAGGGGAGAGGGGAGGGAGGAGACCCCACCAGGGTGGGTCTGAAATGTGTGGCGCATCTTTCCTGGGCCAGGCAAGGGAAGGGAAGGAGATGCAACAGTGATACAGAGAGCAAACAGGGAGGCCGAGCCCAGAGGAGCCGTCTGGCCCAGGGTGCCCCAGACCAATGGACGGACAGGCAGATGGGCTGAACGGGTGCCTCCAGGCTCCAGACCAGCCCCTTCTCTGCAAGGCTCTGCCCCTGCAGGGCCCGCCTGCCCGCTGTCTGCCAGAGGGAAGCCCCTAGACCCAAGTCTCAAACCCAAACACCAGTCTTCTTTCAGAGGAAGCAGTTTCTGTGGATGTCCTTGGACCCCAGTATGAAAAACACAAACAGATCTCAGTCCATGAAAACCTCTTCATTTCTAATTATCACAAAATAGTTTTGTCATTATAACTGGTAAGGGGGTTCTTTCTCAGAGTAGTCAAATGAAGACAAATATTTCTCACAGGTGTTTAAACCCTGGAGAATGTGTTTCAGGTCCCCGAGGAGCCAAAGACCCCTCGCAGAGAATCCCCGTTGTAGCCTCTTACCGGCCAGCTCAGGACACAGCACCTGGAATCTCTGGCCACAGGCCGATGTGGCCTTCTGGGCAGCCTCTTGTTTTAGGGCGAGTGGACAGTGCTTAAGCAAATGGGACCCAGGCCTACCCTGACCACTAGGAGCCCAGAGAGCGCTTTGCAGCAAGGCAGAAGCCCAGGACTCACTTTCCCCCTCCTGGGGGCGAGTGCCTCCTATCCCTGGTCTCGGGGCCTGAGGGACATGCCCTGAGGCCTCCTGGGGCCTCATCTGGCCTCTCAACAGGCTGTGATCTGAAGACCCTGGGGCTGCCTCCAGCTGGTGATGGTGGCCACAAGGCAGCCTTTCCAGGCCTTAGTTTCCTCTTCTGTAGGATGGGGACAGGGACAACACTTGTCTCAGGGGTGCCCTAAAGGGCCAACCTCAGAGTGTGGGGCCCAGTGAGGGCTCAGCAGATGAGGCTGCTGGTGTCACAGCTTTTGTGGGCAGACGAAGGACTGAGGCCGTGTGTGCCCCGAGCCCCGGGAGCTGGGGCACCTCTGCACCTGGTGCTCCATGGGCACAGCCTCCTGGGGCAGGACAGTAGGGTGTCTGCTGAGTGCTGGGGGACAGGCAGTGCCCCTGGCCAGCCCAGGGAAACCCCCATGGTAGTGGGGGGTACTCTGCTCTGAGCCCACTGCCCCATTCTGGCCTCGCCATGGTGCACCTGTACCCAGTGTTACAGGTGGAGAGACAGCGGCCCACAGAGGGACAGACAGACCAGCTCTCCCACTCTGTGCCACTGTGCAGGGTCCAGGCCCACCTGGGGCCTGAGTCCTTGAGCCCCGGCCATAAGCCTCAAAGGCTGTTGGGTGTGACCAGAACCTGCTGCCTCTTGGCACTGACCCTGCTGGTCCCCGGGGGGCAGTGTCCAGCTCCCTCCTCTGTACCCAATACCACTTGGGGCCACAGGGGCCTGCTGGCTGTGCCCCAGCCCCACCTTGCTGCTGTAACGCAACCCTCGTGGACAGGCTCAGGCAGGAGCTCAGAGCTCCTTCCACTCCTGTCCCAGAGGAGAGTGGCCCCCGGGTGGTCGGGAATCCTGGATCGCAGCTGCCCCCCTTCTGCCGAGGACAGCATGCAGCCAGAGAGCTTCCCAGAGGAAAGGGTGCCGAGGTTGAGTGGTCTCAGAGAAAGAGGAGTGGGCAAGCGTGGGGGACGGGAGGCACCAACACTGGGGGAAGTGCTGGGGGTGGGGCAGGAGTTGGTCCCAAAGCCCTGGTGCCAGGAGGGGAAGCTGACATGACAGCAGTGGGCAATGGGGAAACTGGATCTCCCAGCAGGGAGGGCACAGCCTGGGGTTAACAGGGCTTCCCTGGAGCTTGGATGGGGGTGGGGGTCCTGAGCCAGGGCCCAGAGAGAGGCAGGGATGGGGGGCTGAGGGGGAGGTTGGGAAACCCCCAGGCTGTGCTGGGGGCCCCACCAGGGAAGCAATGTGAAGCTCGGCCTCCTGCCCCAGGAGCAGCCCGGACTGGAGGTCGGGGGGGCGGGGCAGGCACTTGCCCACGGGGCACTCCCTCACCAAACACTCACCTGGGTGGCCTCCAGCTGGCCTGGGCCAACCATCCTCACAACCCCCTCCCCACTGAGAACCCAGCATGCAAGTTGGAAACTGTTCTGAGCTCCACGGAGAAAGGCGGGCAGGTGTGGCCTCTCCCAGGAGCCCCGTTAGTGACCCCGGGCCTCCAGCTGGCTCAGGAGGAGGCCGCAGCCCTGATGGTTAGTGTCCCCCGACCCCAGCCCAGAAGCGGTTAGAGAGAGGAGGCCAGGCGGCCGAGGCCGGAGAGCAGAGCTGTGCAGACGCAGCGCACAGGGGCTGCAGGGAGAGGCCCTACCATCCGGCTCCTCAACATAAGGCTTGGGTTTCTTTCTCAACTTGGACTTCTTCTTAGTGTTCCTTTCCAGGAGCTCTTTCATGTGCTGTGTCACTGGGGAGCAAACAGAGCCATGAGGACACAGAACACAGAGCCAGGAACACATGCCCACATGGGTCCCCAGGCGGCCACAAGGAGGCCCCTGGGCCTGCGGGGGGCTGCCCCAGTCAGCTGGGAAGATGTCACCCCTGTCACATCCTCTTCCTCAAGGGTTCACAGGACCACTGGTCCGATGCCCAGCTGGGGTGGGGGTGAGTATCCTGTAAGCAGCCGCTTGCTGCTCATACTCTTGGGGACAGGGAGGTGTGTGTGTACCATACAGATGTGTGGTTGCGTGTGTGGCTGGGGGAGGTGCCAGGGGCCCTTCTGAGCACTGTTGCCCAGAAAGCCAGCTCTTCTCATGCTGGAGGTGGGTGGGAAGGCCCTGGGCAGTGGGGACAGGATGCAGTCAGCTCATGACCCTCCACCGACATACAAGCACGGGGAGGGGGGCCCAAGGAGCCCCCAGCTCAGCCATCTTCTTCCTAAATGGCTGCATTCTGGGGGCTCAGCTCCTGAGCTGGTGCTGGAGGAGGTGCTGAGCAAGAGAAGGTGCCGGGGCTCCCCTCTTGGGCTGATCTGGGCATGCCTCTCACTCTGCACAAAATAACTGAGCCTGGCTGACGCAGACCCCTTTGTTCTCCTCCATCCTGCACTCTCTGGAAGGAAGTGACTGTGCATAGCCCCCTGACGGTGGACCATCTGCGTGAATTATTGTGATTCTTCTGCGCGGGAGATCTCTATCCATCTATCTAGTCATTTATTTATGTCAGCACGGACTTGCAGATATTCATTTACACTCCGGGTCGTGATCCGACATGACTTTGTTGCGCACATTGCTCCAGCTTTGGCCACACGGTGCTCTTTCAGCTGGCTCCCGTGTGCTGAGACAAACTCCGTCGTCTGCCCTCACCCTCTCTAGCACTTCCTCACTTCCGGCACTACACGTGTACATTCCCTACACCAGCCCTAGAATCAGCTGATTCTCCAAGGAGCTCTGGTTCCTTTTAATGGAAAATGGTATTAGAAACCAAGACCTGGGTGTTAGGAGTGCTCACTGCTGTTGGGGTGTCACTCCTTCCAGGCCCTCTCAGCTGACAAAGCAAGGGAAGATATATGTGTATACTAGCCCCTATGTATATGCATCTCCAAATATGTCCATAATGATGCCTCCACCTCTAATCCATCACCACATGGATCCCTCTAGCTTCCTTCTCCTTGCTTGTCTGTAACTGGTTTCTCTTCATTCTCTTAACAGTTTTGAAGAATAGGAGATTTAATTTTGATAGTGCTTTTAGTGTCACATATAAAAACCTTTGCCTAACTCAAGAAGACAAAGATTTTCTCCTATGTTCTAGAAGTTTTATAGTTTTAGGTTTTATATTTTGGTTTATGATCCATTTTGAGTTAATTTTTGCATATAGTATAAAGAATGGGTTGAAGCTCATCTTTTTCACATTTGGATATCCAACTGACCCAGCACCATTTGAGGAAAACACTATCCTTTCTTCACTGAACTGCCTTTGCGTCTCTGGAAAACTAACTGACAATATGCATCTGGGTCTGTTTTTGGACTCTCTATTCTGCTTCTTTGTGCCAACACCACCTTCCCCCAATCACTGCAGGTTTATAGCGCATCTTGAGGTCAGGCAGTGTCACTGATCCAACTCCGTTCTTTCTCAAAGGTATTTTGGCCTTTTCTATGAATTTTAGAATCAGCCTGTTAATTTTTCTTTTTTCTTTTTTTCCCTTTTTCTCCCCAAAGCCCCAGTAGATAGTTGTATGTCCTAGTTGCACATCCTTCTAGTTGCTGTATGTGGGATGCCACCTCAGCATGGCCTGACAAGCAGTGCGTTGGTGCGTGTCCGGGATCTGAACCCGGGCCACCAGAAGCGGAGTGTGCGCACTTAACCGCTAAGCCACGGAGCTGGCCTGGCCTGTTAATTTCTAAATTATTAAAAAAACCTACTAAGATTTTGATTAGGATTGAATCTATAGATCAATTTGGATAGAAGCGACATCTTAATATTGAGTCTTCTGATTCATGAATACGGTATATCTCTCCATTAATTTAGGTATTCTTGACTTTGAGCAACATCTTAGGTTTTGGCGTAGAAATCTTATATATATTTTGTCAGATTTATCCCTAAGTTTATCATATTTTATAATGCTACTGCAAATGGTATTTTAAAAATACCCATTTCCAATAGTTTGTTGTTAATGTATAGAAACATGATTAATTTTTATATATTGGTCTTGTATCCTGCAACCTTGCTAAACTCACTTCTCTTAGTTCTAATAGTATTTTTATAGATCCCATAAGATTTTCTACATAGAAGAAATCTCTACCTAACCTTCATCTTGTCTGTGAATAAAGACAACTGCACACTTCCTTTCCAATCTGGATGCCTTTCAGTTCTTTTTCATGACTTGGCAGTGGCCAGGCCCTCCAGCATGATGTGGAGTAGATGCGCTGAGGCTGGAGGTCCTTGCCTTGTTCCTGATCTTGGGGGGAAAGCATTCAGTCTTTTACCATTAAGTATGATGCTGGCTAGAGGCTGTTTTGGTTTTAACTGTGGTAATATATAAACATAAAGATATAGCCATTTAATTATTATTATTATTATTATTATTTTTTGTGAGGAAGATCAGCCCTGAGTTAACATCCATGCTAATCCTCCTCTTTTTGCTGAGGAAGACCGGCTGTGAGCTAACATCTATTGCCAATCCTCCTCTTTTTTTTCCCCCAAAGCCCCAGTAGATAGTTGTATGTCATAGTTACACATCCTTCTAGTTGCTGTATGTGGGACGCGGCCTCAGCATGGCCGGAGAAGCAGTGCGTTGGTGCGTGCCCGGGATCCGAATCCGGGCCGCCAGTAGCGGAGCGTGCGCACTTAACTGGTAAGCCACGCGGCTGGCCCTATTATTATTTTTTTTATAAAGATTCATTTTCATTTCATTTCATCTCTCATTTCATTTTTTTGTGAGGGAGATCAGCCCTGAGCTAACATCCACGCCAATCCTCCTCTTTTTGCTGAGAAAGACTGGCCCTGGGCTAACATCTGTGCCCATCTTCCTCCACTTCATATGGGATGCTGCCACAGCATGGCCTGACAAGTGGTGCATCAATGTGCGCCTGGGATCCGAACCCGGGCCGCCAGCAGTGGAGCGTGCGCAGTTAACCGCTACACCGTGGGACTGACCCCCACCATTTAATTATTTTTAAGTGTACAATTCAGGGGCATTAAGTACCTTCACAATGTTGTGCAACTGTCACCACATCTATTTCCAAAATCCTCTCATCATCACAAACAGAAACCCCATCCCCATTAAGCAATAACTCCTCATTCCTCCTCCCCTAGCTCCTGGTAACCTCTAATCTACTTTTTGTCTCTATAAAGTTGCCTATTTTAGATATTTCCTATAAGTTGAATCATACAATATTTGCCATTTTTTGTCTGGCCTCCCTCACTTAGCATGATTTTTCAAGGTTCATCCATGGTGTAGCACGTATCAGAGCTTCACTCCTCCCTATGGCTGAAAATATCCCATCGTATGGGAGGACCGCATTTTGTTTATCCATCCCTCTGTGGATGGACACCGGGGTTGTCTCCACTTTCCAGCTCCTGTGAATAATGCTGCTGTGAATACTGGTGTATAAGTATCTGAGTGCCTGCTGTTCATTCTTTTGGGTACATCTTTTTATAGATGCCTTTCATCAGGCTGAAGAGGTTCCCTTCTATTCCTAGTTTGTTTAGAGTTTTTCTTAGGAATGGAATGTTGGCTTTTGTCAAATGCTTTTGAGATGATCATGTGGGTTTTCTTTTGATATGGCAAATTACATTGATGTTTTAATGTTAAATCAACCTTTCATTCCTCAGATAAACCCCACTTATTCAAGATGCATTATCCGGGCCGGCTCCATGGCTTGGCGGTTGAGTGCGCGCGCTCTGATGCTGGTGGCCCGGGTTCGGATCCCGGGCGCGCCCCGAGGCACCACATCTCCGTCCAACCTGAGGCCGAGTCCCACGTACAGCAACTAGAATGATGTGAACCTACGACATACAACTGTCTACTGGGGCTTTGGGGGGAAAAAATGAATAATAAAAAAAAAAAAGATGCATTATCCTTTTTAATATATTGGATTCAATTTGCTAAAATACTGTTAATTTTTCTGTGTTCATGAGTGATACTGTCTGTGCTGTTCTTTTTTGTAATGTCCTTTTCTAATTTTGGTACAGAGTGAATTGGGAAATACTCCCTCCACTTCAGTTTTGTGGATGAGTTTGTAAAAAATTGCTACACAAACAATGAAATGTTTGGTAAAATTCACGAGTGAAGCCATTTGGGCCTGGAATTTTCCTTTTTGGGAAGGTTTTTAAGTACCAATTCAATTTCTTTAATAGATATATGACTTTTCTGGTTTTCTGTTTCTTATTGAGTAATCTTTGGTAGTTTGTGTCTTTCATGGAATTTGTCCATTCCTCTAAATTTTCAAATTTACTGGCATAAAGTTGTTCATAATATTTCCTTATTAATATTTTAACATCTGTTGAATCTGTAGTGATATCATCTCTCATTCTTAATATTGGTAATTTATGTCTTCTCTCTTTTTGTCCTGATCAGACTGGCTGGAGGTTTATTAATTTTATTGATCTTCTCAAAGAATCAGCTTTATGTTTCACTGATTTTCTATTTGTTTTTCTGTTCTTTTATTGATTTCTTCTATAATCTTCATTATTTCCTTTCTTCTGCTTATTTTGATATAACTTATTTATTTATTTATTTTTAAGTTTCTTCAAGTAGAAGCTGAGGTCATTGATTTGAGATCTTATTTTCTAATACAGGCATTTTGGTGCTATAAATTTCCCTCTGAGAACTGCTTTGGCTGCATCCCACAAATTTTAATATGTTTTGTTTTCATTTTCTTTCCTTTCAAAGTACTTTCTAATTTCCCTTTTGATTTTTATTTGACTCATGGGTTATTCAGTAGGATGTTCTTTAGTTTCCAAATACTGAGGGATTTTCCAGATATCTTTGTGTTACTGATTGCTAATTTAATTCTGTTGTGGTTAGAGAACACACTTTCTATGATTTACATTCTTTAACATTTATTGAGACTTGTTTTATAGCTTAGAATATGGCCTATCTTGAAAATGTAGCTGGGATTTGAGTCCAGATGCTCTGGGTCCAGAACCTATGCCCTCACCTCCTCCACTGTAGCTGCTTCGTTTCTTAAACAGACTTTCAGCTAGCCCTTCTGTTTTCAGCTTTAAGGTCACCCCCTTTCCAAACCATTGCCAGAGGCAGCTGGCTCCAGCCATGACTGAACTTTTAAGGGTTCACTACCTGCTTCAGCTTCTTCGTTTTCCCACCGTCTGCTTGGAATGCACCCTTCTTGGTCTGCCAAGTCAGGTTCCTGATACTTGTCCACGTGCTTTTCAGCTTCCCAAACATCGCTGTTCTTCCCCTTCCATTCTCTTTGTCCTTGTGGGTTTTATTTTTTTCATTGTGATAAAATATACATAAAATTTACCATTTTGGGGGCCGGCCCTGTGGCTCAGCGGTTAAGTGCGCACGCTCCGCTGCTGGTGGCCCAGGTTCGGATCCCGGGCATGCACCGACACACCGCTTCTCCGGCCATGCTGAGGCCACGTCCCACATACAGCAACTAGAAGGATGTGCAACTGTGACATATAACTATCTACTGGGGCTTTGGGGAGAAAAAGGGAAAAAAAGGAGGAGGATTGGCAATAGATGTTAGCTCAGGGCTGATCTTCCTCACAAAAAAGAAAAAATAAATTTACCATTTTAATCATTTTTAATATTTATTTATTTATTTATTTATTTATTTATTTTTTGGTGAGGAAGATCAGCCCTGAGCTAACATCCATGCTAATCCTCCTCTTTTTGCTGAGGAAGACCGGCCCTGAGCTAACATCTATTGCCAATCCTCCTTTTTTTTCCCCTCCAAAGCCCCAGTAGATAGTTGTATATCATAGCTGCATATCCTTCTAGTTGCTGTATGTGGGACGCGGCCTCAGCATGGCCGGAGAAGCGGTGTGTCGGTGTGCGCCTTGCGCCCGGATCTGAACCCGGACCGCCAGCAGCAGAGCGCGTGCACTTAACCGCTAAGCCACAGGGCCGGCCCAATCATTTTTATGTTCACAGTTCAGTGGCATTAATTACATCCATATTGTTGTGCAACCATTACCACCATCCATCTCCAGAACTGTTTCATCTTCCCAAATGGAAACTATGCATTAAACAACAACTCTCCATTTCTCCCTCCCCTAACCCATGGCAACCACCATTCTATTTTCTGTCTCTATGAATTTGACTACTCTAGGGACCTCAAATGAGTGGAATCATGTAGTATTTGTCTCTTTGTGACTGGCTTATTTCACTTAGCATAATGTCCTCAAGATTCATCCATGTTATAGCATGTGTCAGAATTTCCTTCCTTCTTTAGGCTGAATAACATTCCATCATATGTATTTTGTTTATCTGTTCATCCATCGATGAACACTTAGGCTGTTTCCACCTCTTGGCTATTGTGAATAATGCTGCTATGAACAGGGATGTACAAATATCTGTTCATGTTTCTGCTTTCAGTTCTTTTGGGTATACACCCAGAAGTGGAATTGCTGGATCCTATGGTAATTGTATGTTTAATTTTTTGAGAAGCTTCCAGACTGTTTTCCACAGTGGTGGTACCATTTCACATTCCCTTGTGAGTTTTTTTTTTCCCTCTTAAAAATTCCTTCACTGTTCTTTTAGCAGGAGTTCAAGGTGGAGTCCAAGTAAATGCATGTGTTCAACCTGCCTTCTTTACCTGGAAGCCACTAAGTCTTGTTGGATGCATGAATGCACGAGCAGTGAATGAAATGCCTCAGGGTCTGCAGCCTTCAAAGGGCTCCTTTGCAGAGCAGACAGGCGAGCTGCAGTCTGTTGTGTCCACTGCCAAGCACCCCTGCAATGTTTGCGCCGAGGTCCCAGGAGACAGCTGTAAAACCCTCCTGCTGGTGGCTGGCACCAAAGTGTGCCCATGTGTGAGACGAGGCTAAGCTGGGGGCAGGGGGCATGTGAACCGGGGTTCACTGCATGGCGCCTTGGTCCCTTGGGGTTGTGACCACACAGATGTCATACACATGCTGGCAGATGAATCAGGCTCTGAAGCTGAGGCAGGCAGCGTGATTGAGGGTGAGCCTCAGCTCTGCCCTCACTGGCATTCCTGGAACAGGCCGTAGTTTCCTTTTCCTGAGCGCAGGCTACACTCTCTTAGGCTGATGGAGCCTGCCTTCCTGATCAACAGTGAGCACCTATGTTCTTTTTTTTTTTTTTTTTCCAGTCACATCTGAGAACTTTATTGGGCACGGCTCAGCACCAGGCTCCGGCAGGCCCAGCACGCGGCCCAGGCAGCCACGGCTGGAGGAGGGTGGTTCCGTCCAAGAGGTCTCAGCAAACGGTGACCCCACAAGGCAACATTCTACCTAAGATTACTATATAGTTGGGAGACAGAGGGCTGCTCCACAGACGCATAACAGGTCAAATCTTTATAAATAAACATCCAGTGAAGAAAATGACAACTCTAATTCATTCTTATACACAGAGCACTCTAGAGCAGGTGGGTGGGGGCGGCCAGGGGCCTGCATCCTCACTGGTCAGGGGCCTGGGTGGGTGATGAGTGGGTCCAGATGTCCATGGCACAGGGCGGGCAGGGGCAAGGCCAGGGGCAACGGATGATGGGCACTAGGACACTGTGCATTTACAAGACCAACTACTGGGGGGCAGCTGCCCCGTGCGTGTGTGTCAGGCTGTTCGTTCTGGAATGAGGAGGGAGTGGTCTTTACATCATATTCTGTAGCTGGTGGGCTCAGAGAAGAGCTACTTTGTGGAAAGGATGAGGGCCACGATGAGACCATAGAGGCCAAGGACCTCAGCGAAGATGAGGATGAGGATCATGCCCACGAATAGCCGAGGCTTCTGGGCAGTGCCCCGCACTCTGGCGTCCCCCACAATGCCGATGGCAAAGCCAGCTGCCAGCCCGCTCAGGCCCACGCTCAGGCCTGCGCCCAGCTGGAGGAAGCTCCTGTAAAGAGTGATGCCATCATTCAGGGAGTTGGCGATGAGGACCGCCACCACCAGGCCAGCACCTACGTTCTTGACAGGGGCCAGTGGGAGGGAGCACGAGGCCTCTCCTCTGGGCTCAGTGCCGAACAGGGCCTGTGGCAGATGCCCACCCAGGAGCGGCTCTTGGGGCTGGGGACGGGGTTCTGGCTGGAGGGCGGCCCCATGCCACAGATGTAAGACCAGACCCCACAGCCTAGATGCAGGCCCCTGCTGGCTGGACCATGTAGACCCTGTGTCCCTCTGTGGGCGCAGACCATACGGCCCTCTGAGACCACCTGGCCTCATTCAAGGGGCGGGGGAAGGGATCTCAAAGCCATGGCTGCCCAGGCTGACCCCCTCTTCCCTCCTACATGCTAGCCAAGCTCCCAGGACGAAGGTGCCACAAACCTCTGTGGCAAGGGGAGTAACCTGCTGGTTACTGGATGGGGCCTGAAGCCCAAGCTCCCTGTGGAAGCCCCAGATGCCCGGCGGGAACAGCCCTGCGAGCCTCCAGCCTCTGTGTATTCACTGCTCACTCACCTTTTCACTCCGCAAGCACTCCCTGGGCCCTCGCGGACTGAGCAGTGGGCACACACTTCCAAGCCTCCAGCTCAAGGCAGTGACATTTCGAGGCCTTTTTGGAAGAGGATGAGGTGAACCATGAAGCCAACGGGGGCCCACCTGCTCCTGGAAAGGCCCAAGAAGAACGAGGCAGACCCAGGCCACTGCCAGGCCGCGCGTCTACACGTGGGAGGAGCCATCTGCTGTGTCCAGTGATCCTGCTTCAAAACTGCATGCCTGGGCAAAAATCTCATGGCTTCCATGACATCCCCCCAAATGGCTGACGCATCTTCCCTGGGGCCCACAACTGCTGCACAGCCACAGCCCCCGTCACTGTGTACACACGCCCTGCCCCCCACACCTGGGCTGGGGCAAGGTCCTGGCCAGACCAGGGTGGAGAGTCACTCCTGCAGAGCAGTCTACGGCACGTCTGACCTGGAGGGCGTGTGGGAGTGTGTGAGCATGTGCGTGCGTGTGCATTTGTGCATGTGTTTGTCCAGATGCTGCTTCTGTGGCTGTGCCCTGTGGACACCCACAACTGTCAGGGTGGTGGACAGCCTAGTGCTGCCTATGGCCCTATCCCCACGCTCACCCTGCCCAGCCTAGGACTCTGCCCAGCTGCCGGGTCAGCTGCAGGGGCACCGCCTGGCTGGCAGGACCACGGTCCCTAGTCTTCCTCCCAGCAGGCCGGGCCTGGGCCCAGACAGACTTGATACATGGCCTTCAGGAGCCTCAGGCAGAATCTGGCCCTGCAATTGGCCTTAGGCAGCCGTAGCAGGTGGCTACCTGTGCTGGTCCCAATCTCGGACTGCTTGGGGCAGCTCAGGGCCAGCTCAGCTTGCAGCACCCCAATGGCCTGCTGGTCTTGCCAGACCTGGTGCTGGGCAATGCACACTGTGGTCACCATGCTCCTTCCTGCTCTCAGGAGCCCTCCTCCAGGACCCCACAGTCTCTTCGCCACCCACAACAGATGGCCTGAGGCTGGCTGGGGCAGTCACTCCTCCAGGCCTCAGGACGGCTGAAAGCAAATGCAATAAGCACATACGGGCTGACTGTGGCCTCCCTGCCCTTGGCCTCTTTGCTTCTGCCCTCAGTGGGCAGGGCGAATGGCCACAGTGGCCTCAGAGCAGAGTGGACACTGGCTGGCCAAGACATGGATGCCATGTGTCCTTGTTCAGGCCACCTTCCTGTTGGCTGTGGCTGGGGACCCTGTGTCAGGACTGCCTGCGGCTCTTCTTGGGGCTTTGGTGCCGAGGTAAGGGCTCCCCAAGGACCCCATGTCCCAGGGGAAACCCAGAACGTGGCCCTCAGAAGACATACGTGTCTGCTTGAAGTGCTGCATCAGCCCCCACGTACCTGCTGCCCCTGCGGTGCCGCCCAGCGCAGGCCAGGAAGTTCTCGCCACAGCCCTTACCTGAGCTGGTGGCAGAACCCGGGGTGCCAAGGGGTTCTATGTGGTGGGCCTTACCTTTGGTGTCATTGACGGGGTCCATGTGCCGATAGATGTAGCCCTCCAGGTAGGAGTGGAACTTGGGTGTGGGCGGGAAGAAGGCCAGGCAGATGGCCATGAGCTCCCAGCCACGGGCCAGGCTCTCAAGGCGGAAGTTCTCAGTGGTCTGCCGGCACAGCTGGATGTAGAGCTCGTCCCGCAGGCCCTGCACGCTCCAACCCTTGGTGGCGATCTCCAGGGCCACATGCAGTGGGTCTGCCTTGGCGCGTCGGTCACCCATGTACATCTGGATCAGTTTGAAGATCTCGCAGGCCTCCTTCTTCACGTGGCGGTCGCTGGTCACGATCATGGGCTTCTTGATGGATTCGCTGCTCCAGGCCAGCATGTTGGCGATGGACACCCTCCGCCGGAAGAGGCCCTGCGTGTGCTTGTTGAAGTGCTTGGAGGCCCAGTTCTCAATGTCGGTCTCTGAGGACGGCTTGCGCAGCGTGAAGGTAGGGAACACACAGCTGGCACTGGGCATCACGCTGCGGGTCTGCCGGCTACTCTCAAACTGGGCGCAGGTGCCGAGGTCCTCGGACTGGGGAGGATAGAGGGACTGTGAGGGGGGGGTTGGGAGCCCCACATGACCCAGTCAGGTGAGAGGGGTGGCCTCCCTGCTGGCCCAAGGCTGCTGGAAGAGCAAGGCCAGGCGGGCGGGGTAGGGTGGGGTGGGCAGGCAGGTAACCTGCTGGCAGGGGAGGCAGGAAAGCAACCTTTGCTGGGCAACCCTGGCATGGATGGAGGCCAGGCCTGAGCTTCCAGCTTTGCTCCCCATCTTACTCCACTTGCCTCATAAAGGCATGCCTGCATCATCCTCTCGAATGGCTGGGGCAGAAACCCAGAGAGGCCCTTCTTCCAACCTTTACCCTGAAGGCTCGATCTCCAGGAGGTACCCTCCCTGCTCCCGAGACCAAGGGTTGTGGGGGCCAGCACGGGCCTGGTGGCGGGAGGAAACCACACGTGCATTTCATCGGCTTCTCGAGCTGCTGTCGCCCCAGGTGGAAAGACGCTGGGGAAGCTGCACCCACGGGTGCTCATGTGGCCCTCCTCACTCCGGGTGCCAGCCCCATGCTGCTGCTGCTTTGCTGCTGCTGGTTCACTGAACTTCGAGGTTGGGAAGCAGATGGGAAGGGCAGCCCCGTGAAGATGTGGAAACCCCCAGACGCAAAGTTCGACAAGAAACACAAATGTCTCCCTCGGTCCTCAACAATGCCTCCCCTTCCCTGTCGCTGCACCCCACTTTCCCCAACAAAGATCCCCACATGGAATCTCAGGCAGAGTGATGCCCTGCGGAGGCAGGACCGGGCCTGAGAAGGGCTGTGTGCTACAGGCCTCCCATCCCATGATGCTGGGAAGAGTGGGGGTTGCCCCAAGCCCCTTTCCCAACTGCCTAATGGCCTAAGCGTAACTGCACAAGGCCTATCACTCAGTTAACATCCCCTTCTCACCTAGCGCTCTTGGGGACTCCCATGCCCTCCGTCTGGGGGGCAGGTTCTTGATGCTCACTCTCCACCTCCCACCTACCCAGGCTGCCTCTTCCCATCTGTCTTGTGTCCTCTCGTGTTAGAAGTCATGGACAGAAACGCTGTTCCGAGCTCTCCAGCCTGGAGGGGCACTAAGGTGGCCCGGCCTGGGGGATGCTGGTTGCCCAAGATCACCAGTCCCCTGGACATGTCTTCCTCAGTAAGGTTTGGGATGAACATGAGGAGTCCGACACTGGGAGGCTCTCTGGCCACTGCCAGCTCCAAGCAGATGCCAGAGCAGCCCCTCAGCCCTGACTTCATATAGGAGACTAGAGTGAAAGGTCAGGGGTCAGGAGGTGAGAACTAGGACATCGGCCCACACCAAGTCTTAGGGCACAGAGCTCCCGGCACACAACTTGGACAGAAGGTGCATGCAGGCTCCAAGAGCCTGACCGATGCTTGCACCTAGTGCTGCCCAGCAAGGACACGCTAGGCTGGGCCTCTGCTTTGGCTCCAGCTGCAGCCTGAGGTCCTGGGAGCTACCTGGGGCCCACTAAGTGCATCCAGGCCAGGTGTCCAGCCTCCCTGTGTGTAGGAGCCTGGCTCAAGAAGGGCTCTGAGCCACAGGAGGAACGCCTGACACTCTACCTGCACAGTTCTTCACCTGACAGCCCCATTCACAGATGGGAAAGCAGAGGCTTAGGGGCTCAATGGGTGGGGGGCTGCCTGCCTATCTCCCCTGCCTGGCCTGGAATCAGAGCACAGCCCCTGGCCCCCAGGTGAGTTGCCAGCACCTGGATAGGCCTCGCCGGGAGCCCAGGTGAGGGAGCCCCGTGCTGGTGGAAGCCTCAGGGGCATCTGCTGCCTGTCCTCACACCAGTCAGGAACTGTGAATGCCAGCCCCACCCCTGCCGGGGGACCTCGCCTGCCAGCCATGCATCCCTACCTGTGAGGGGTGGAGGTAGGGCTCTGGTGAAGCCAGGTTGGTCTGCACGGAGACACTTTTCTCAAGCAGGATCTGCGGGAAGGCAAGCCTCTCCAAGGCGCCCCTCTGCCAGTGCTTGCTCTCCTGCTGGGCCAGAGCCTCGTCCTCACTGAAGGCTCGCACCACGGGCCCCGGCATGGGCAGTGGCACGGCCCCGTCGCTCTCATAGCCCGAGCCGTCCTGCTGGGAGTCCCAGCTGCCCCTCTGCTTCAGGTGGAAGTGGGCCTGCTGTGCCTCCCAGGCTAGCCGTGCCTGCGCCAAGAAGGGCTCAGCCGTGCCCCGTGCCCCGTCTGCCTCACCCGCCTTGCCATCTCCGCGCTTCACCGGGGCCAGGCTGGGCCCACATGGGGGCCGTTCCTCGGCCAGGGGCTGCTCACCAAGCAGGTCGCGGTCCCCAGCACCGTCGCCAGATGAGGTGCTGGGAGCATGGCACAGAGAGGGGTTCCGGCTCTTCCTCTTGCGCGTGCCTGGGGAGTAGCCCGTCGAGGACATGGTGTCCTGCTGGCTGGACCAGGACATGGTGTCGTCCTGGGCCTGGGGCAGCGGCGTGGGTGGCTGGGTATGCCGCGGCTCGGGCCCCTGCATGCTGCTGTAGTCCCCAGACGTGGCCCCCAGGTGCTGGTCCCGCAGCGGGCAGGGGCTGGGCTGCAGGGAGAGTGACCCACCCCCAGGATTGGGCCCGTACTTGTGGCGTGGGCCTGCGCGCAGCTTAGGGCTTGAGCCGGCCTGCTCCACGTACACCAGCTGCCGCACGTACTCCTTGCCTGCGGGGCTGTATTCGAGGCTCAGGAAGCGCTCGGGGCACTTCTGCCTGGTGAGCACCAGCTGCTGGTAGGGCGAGGCGGAGGCCTGCTTGGGTGACTGCGGGAAGGGGGGCGGTTTGCGGCCTGGAGATCGCTGGGGCGAGCCGGCCTGGTAGCCGCCGCCGGCCTCGTACTGCACGTCCATGGGGGGCTCGTCGTAAATGGGGGCCTGGTACTCCACAGGGGGCTCTTCGTAGAGGGGCGGCTCGTAGGCATAGCGCGGGGAGGAGGGCTGTGAGTCGCCAGCGGGCTTGCGGGGCTGAGCTAGCAGTGGGGAGCAGCTCCCCAGATCAGCCCTCTTTAGGAAGGGCGACGGCCTCCGCTCAGGGAAGAAGATAGAACCGTCCACATCAGGGGTGAACGTCTGCAGGCTGGGCGAGGGCTGCCCACCTGAGGGTCTGCGGGAGCGGCCCCCAGGCTGGCTGTCCAGTGGGTAGCCATTGCCCTGGGGGGACAGAAAGCCGGGCTCCCGGTCGGCAACTTTGATGAGCATGCGCTCCTTGGTGCCTGAGTTCCACCGGAGCGAGGAGGTCCTGGGGGGGACAGGCACAGGTTACCTGGGGAGGTGGAAGTCTAGCCCCGCTCCAGCCTGGACCCATCACCCACCCTCTTTGGCCTCATGGGCATCTGGAGTCAGGGCCCAGAAGGACTGGTCATTTCCCAGCATCCTCCTCACCCCGACAATGGGGGCTGCAGGCTGCAGGGGCCTGGTACTTGCCAGAGGGCTCCCTGTAAATGACCTGCGCACCCTTAATTGCTAGGCCCCTGACCCCGGGGCAGTGCAGCCTGGAGTAGCTGCCCTCTTGTCCTGGAAGCTCCCCTCACACACCTCCTGACTCAGCCCCGCAGCCCGCGCCTCCAGGGGGCTCTCCTGCTGCCCATCACACTACCTGCAAGGCCCTCTCCGTGTGTGTCTGCTCTGGTCCCAGCACAGCACAGGCACAGCACCATTTCTGTAACGGAGAACTGGAGGTGGCCCTTCCAGAGGCCTCTCTGACTCTAGACTCCACATGCACATTTCCCTGCAGGCCTCACTCCTGGGCTCAGTACCTGCCCTGCCCCTACTGGGCGGTGGGCTGACACGCCCCTGTGAACCAGCATGTCAGGCCCTGGTTTCAACCACAGATGCTTCTGTGAGCTCCAAAAAGGCTGACTGACCCCCCGTGACTCTGCTCTCACACAGTCAGGACTCTGCACCTGGATGGAGAGGCCTGCTAAAGCCTGTAGCAGGCTAAGGGCACCCACGGCCCCTGGGAGTTATGGGGCCGAATCCTGGCCCCTCCAGCCAGTGGGGGGCCACGCTGCACACCTGGCCTCTTCTGAGCCTCACTTGCTCAGTGACGACATGGGTGACATCACCCCGGACGCTGCTGGCAGGATATGCAGACTTGACGCCCACTCTGCTCTGCCCACCCGGGGTCAGCGCCCGGGCCCAGGGCTGCACCTGCAATGGCAGGGGTGGGGCCCAGAGTCCAGGAGAGATGAGTGGGGCTCACCTCCACCACCTGCTCTCTCCCTCAGGTGACCTCCGGCGGCTTTTAGGATTCATTTTGTATTTTGTATTCAGCACACGTGCTTAGGGATCCATAGCACCTCTTCAGTCTGTGGCTGTATAATTTGTGGAAACTCTTGACCATTATCTTTCAAATATTACTGTTATCCCCTTTCCTCTCCCCTCCCTTCTGGCTTCAATTACAGTCCTTTTCACTGTGTGCCATATGGTTTCACGCCGTATTCTGTCTTTCCCATCCCCTGGCCTCACCACACTTTACAATAGATATTTTCTTCTGATCTACCTCCCAATTTACTAATTTTGTATTCAGCTGTTTAATCTGCTCTTACACCCATCTATTGAGTTCTTAGTTGTTGTTATTACATTTTTCAGTTCTAGAATATCTATTTAATTCTTTTTTCTTTGACATTGTTTTTTAGAGTACTTTTAGGTTCACAGCAAAATTATGAAGAAGGTACAGAGATTTCCCATAAACCCCCTGCCCCTACTCATGCACAGCCTCCCCAATTATCAACATCCCCCGTTAGAGTGGTACATTTGCTGCAACTGATGAACCTAAATTGACACATAATAATCACCCAAAGTTCTTAGTGTACATTATGGTTCACTCTTGGTGTTGTACATTTTATGGGTTTGGATAAATATATAATGACATGTATCCATCATTAGGATATTATACAGAGTATTTTCATTGCCCTAACAGTCCTCTGTGCTCCTCCTATTCATCCCTTCTTTCCCCCAACCCCTGGCAACCACTGATCTTTTTATTGTCTCCATAGAAGCCAAATCAATGAGCAAATCTTTGGCCTCCAAAGAAGCCAATCTGAAAAGGCTACATACTGTATGATTTCTATGTACAGTATGATTCATATAATTGGAATCATACAGTATGTAACCTTTTCAGATTGGCTTTCTTCACTTAGTAATATACACTTAAGGGTCCTCCTTTCATGGCTTGATAGCTCATTTCTTTTTAGTGCTGAATGATATCTCACTGTCTGGATGGACCACAGCTTATTTATGCATTCATCTACTAAAGGACATCTTGGTTGTTCCCAGGTTTGGCACTTATGAATAAAGATGCTATAAACATCTGTGTGCAGGTTTTGATGCGGACATAAATTTTCATCTCCTTTGGGTAAATACCAAGGAGGACAACTGCTGGATCCTATAGTAAGAGTATGTTTAGTTTTATAAGAAACCGCCAAATTGTCTTCCAAAGTGGCTGTACATTTTGCATTCTCACCAGCAATGAATGAGAATTCCTGTAACTCCACATTGTCATCAGCATTCAGTGTTGTCAGTGTTCTGTATTTTGGCCATTCTAATAGGTGTGTAGTGGTATCTAATTGTTTTAATTTGCATTTTCCCTGATGACATATAATGTGGAGCATCTTTCATATGCTTATTTGCCATCTGTGTATCTTCTTTGGTGAGGCGTCTGTTTAGGTCTTTAGCCTATTTTAAAATCGAGTTGTTTTCTTATAGTTGAGCTTTAAGAGTTCTTTGCATATTTTGTAAAGTATTTTTTTTTTTATAATTTTATTTATTTATTTTTTCCCCTAAAGCCCCAGTAGACAGTTGTATGTCATAGCTGCACATCCTTCTAGTTGCTGTATGTGGGACCCGGCCTCAGCATGGCCAGAGAAGCAGTGTGTCAGTGCACGCCCGGGATCCGAACCTGGGCCGCCAGCAGCAGAGCGCGCGCACTTACCCACTAAGCCACGGGGCCGGCCCTCTTTGCATATTTTGGATAATAGTCCTAGATCATCAGATATGTCTTTTGCAAATATTTTCTCACAGTCTGTGATTTGTCTTCTCATTCTTTTGACATTATCTTTCACAGAGCAGAAGTTTTTAATTTTAATGAAGTCCAGTTTATCAATTATTTCTTTCATGGATTGTGCTTTGATGTTGTACCTAAAAAGTCATTGCCATACCCAAGGCCATCTACCATAATGTAGATGCTTGACAAGCAGTGTGTCCGAGCACACCCAGGATCCAAACCTGCAGACCCTGGGCCGCTGAAGCAGAGCTTGCGCACTTAACCACTGTGCCACGGGGCTGGGCCCCATGTAGTATGTTTTGAAGTCAGGGATTGTGATGCCTCCAGCCTTGTTCTTTTTTCTCAGGATTGCTTTAGCTATTCGGGGTCTTTTGTTGCTCCACATGAATTTCAGTATTCTTTGTTCTACTTCCATGAAGAATGTCCTTGGGATTCTGATTGGGATTGCACTGAATCTGTAGATTGCTTTAGGTATTATGGACATTTTAACTATGTTTATTCTTCAATCCACGTGCATGGAATATTTTCCCATTTATTTATGTCATCATTGATTTCACTCAATAATGTCTTATAGTTTTCATTGTATAGGTCTTTCAATTCCTTGGTTAAGTTTACTCCTAGATATTTTATTCTTTTGGTTGCAATTGTAAATGAGATTGTCTTCTTGAGTTCTCTGTTAGTTTGCTGTTGGCATATAGAAATGCAACTCATTTCTATAAGTTGATTTTGTACCCTGCCACTTGGCTGTAGTTGTTGATTATTTCTAATAGTTTTCCAATGGGTTCTTTAGGGTTGTCTATATATAAGATCACATCATCTGCAAATAGCAACAGATTCACTTCTTCGTTGCCTATTTGTATTCCTTTTATTCCTTTTTCTTGCCTAATTGCTCTGGCCAGAACCTCCAGTACTATGTTAAATAAGAGTGGTGAGAGTGGGCACCCTTGTCTTGTTCCTGTTTTCAGAGGGATGGCTTTCAGTTTTTCTCCATTGAGTATGATGTTGGTTGTGGGTTTGTCATATATGGCCTTTATTATGTTAAGGTACTTTCCTTCTATACCCATTTTTTTGAGAGTTTTTATCATAATTTTATTTATTTTTTTCCCCCAAAGCCCCAGTAGATAGTTGTATGTCATAGTTGCACATCCTTCTAGTTGCTGTATGTGGGACGCGGCCTCAGCATGGATGGAGAAGCGGTGCGTTGGTGCGCGCCCGGGATCTGAACCTGGGCTGCCAGCAGCGGAGCGCGCGCACTTAACCACTAAGCCATGGGGCCGGCCCTGAGAGTTTTTATCATAAATGGATGTTGGATCTTGTCAAAAGCCTTCTCTGCATCTGTTGAGATGATCATATGGTTTTTATTCCTCATTTTGTTAATGTGGTGTATCACATTGATTGATTTGCGGATGTTGAACCATCCCTGTGTCCCTGGTATAAATCCCACTTGATCATGGTGTATGATCTTTTTAATGTATTGCTGTATTTGGCTTGCCAATATTTTGAGGATTTTTGCATCTATGTTCATCAGGGATATGGGCCTGTAGTTTTCCTTCTTAGTATTGTCTTTGTCTGGCTTTGGTATCAGGGTGATGTTGGCCTTGTAGAATGTGTTGGAAGTATTCCATCTTCCTCTATTTTTTGGAATAGTTTGAGAATGATAGGTATTAAATCTTCTTTGAATGTTTGGTAAAAATCTCCAGAGAAGCCATCTGGTCCTGGACTTTTATTTTTTGTGAGGTTTTTGATTACTGTTTCAATCTCTTTACTTGTGATTTGTCTATTCAGGTTCTCTATTTCTTCTTGATTCAGTTTTGGGAGGTTGTATGAGTCTAAGAATTTATCTATTTCTTCTAGATTGTCCAATTTGTTGGCAAATAGTTTTTCATAGTATTCTCTTATAATCTTTGTATTTCTGTGGTGTCCATTGTAATTTCTCCTTTTTCATTTCTAATTTTATTTATTTGAGCCTTCTCTCTTTTTTTCTTGGTGAGTCTGGCTAAGGGTTTATCAATTTTGTTTATCTTCTCAAAGGACCAGCTCTTTGTTTCACTGATCCTTTCTACTGTTTTTCTGGTTTTTGATTTCACTTATTTCTGCTCTGATTTTTATTATTTCCCCTCTTCTGCTGACTTTGGGCTTTGTTTGTTCTTCTTTTTCTAATTCTGTTAGGCGTAGTTTTAGGTTGCTTATTTGGGCTGTATTGCTATGAGTTTCCCTCTCAGGACTGCTTTTGC